GCTGCCTCAGGACCACAACACTCTCTCCCAAATCCCATTGAAAACGAAGCTCTTCCAGTTTCGAGAGCCTGCCCTCTGACCTCAGCCTCCTGTCCTCCCGGTGTGCTTGTCCACCTACCGCTTGGCTGTTCTGACCACAGGGGCACCGCCAGGCCTTGGGCAAGTCCACTTCCCCTGGTCAGGGGCCTACTCCGGTTGCGGACTCCTCCTCCCTGAGTGCACTCCAGGCCTCTTCGTTCAAGCCCTCTCCTGCCCACCTGCACCCTATAGCCTCCAGCCCTGCTGCCTTCTGTGGCCCCCACCTGGCTGAGAGCCTCACACCTGTGCGGGGAAGTGCTGCCACCAGCCTTTGCTGCCATGGGTGCCTAGAACACTGACTGGTCCTGAGACTTCTGTGATGCACCGCACTGGGTTCCTATAGTCAGCCTGCGCACCCTTTCTTGATTTCCAATCTCCCGCACACGCTCAAGCTTTGGGCCCCTCACCTCCTCCCAGTCAGGTGACCTCACCTCCTACTTTAGACAAAATAGAAACCTTCATGCTGGAACTGGCTCCCCCGCTTCACCTCCCACCTCTTTTCTTCTTGTTGCCAAGGAAAACAGACCTATCATCCTAAGACCACCCCTCCTTCCCCGGACTCTGAGTAACCCCTCCCCTCCCCCACCCTGTGGAAGCTTTCCACGGTCAGACCCCCTTGTCCTTTGACCCCACCTCCCTTTCAGTTTCATCATTTCCACCTTCGGTCAAACCTCCCCTCCGCCTGCTCTCTCCTCCACCTGCCTGGCTCCTCCTGGAAGGGCCTCCCCAGGCGCCCCCAGGGCACGAGGACCAAAGAGCGATAGCACCTGCCTGACCTTGCGTCCAGAGGGCCCTGCGGCTGCCTGTCCTCTTTGCCCAGGTTATCTCACCTTCTCCCAGGGCTTTAATTACCCCCCAGGCTGAAGACACACACATCTTGCCTCCCCACCCCTAGCAGCACCTAACATAATCACTGCTTGACAAATAGCAAAGAAATGCAACTTTGCCCCAGCCACTCTGGACACTGCCTGCTCAGGCTCTCAGACTGGGGAGAGGGCCACCTGCCGACTCGCTGGCAGCCCTCCTGGGGGCCTGAGCAGACCCAGCAGTGCTCTGCTTCCCCTTAGCAGAGCAGGCCCGACAGGGTGGGTGACGCCCAAAAGACCGAAGTCAGTCCACTGCAACTTGGCAGGAGCACTCACAAATCTGACAAGGAGAAAACAGGATCTGGTAAAAAGGACTTTACCAAAGTTATTTCTGTGAGGCTGTAGGCCGTCTTCTGTCCTCCAGGTTAGCAGCTTTTCAACTGCTTCCAGGAACGTAACCCTCTTAACCCTCTGGGAGAGTGCAAGTGGCAGAAGCGCAGGAGGAAGGGTGGAGGGAGCTCGAGTGGGAGACCCCTCTGCCCAACCCTGCCCGTCCAATGTACCCTGCCCCTTCCTGAAGAGTCAAAATCCACTTTTCTTCTGGGCCTGTCACTAGCAAACACTAAGCGCTGCCCAAGCTCTATGACATCAGGGAGGGAGGAGGCTGGAGACCTTCTCGTCCTCCCTTGCAGGAGAGGTCACACTGACCGTAGCCCTGGGGCTACTGAAGTGCCCCTGAGGTCAGCAGCATGCTTGCGCCCCGCTGAGTGCCGCTGGGTTCTGCAGTGAACATCATGGGCACGTGTTAACAACAGAGTCGGCACTGGAGAAAAGGAACTCACACGAGGGCTCTGGGTGGCGCAGGAGCTGCCACTGGTTATGGAGAATGCGCAACTCATCTCAGGGTAGACAGCAAACCCGAGCCTTGAAAGGGGCTGTGGATTTAACAGGTGCGCCACCTCTTAGCTTTTTTTTTTTTTGCGGTACGCGGGCCTCTCACTGTCGTGGCCTCTCCCGTTGCGGGGCACAGGCTCCGGACGCGCAGGCTCAGCGGCCATGGCTCACGGGCCCAGCCGCTCCGCGGCACGTGGGATCTTCCCGGACCGGGGCACGAACCCGTGTCCCCTGCATCGGCAGGCGGCCTCTCAACCACTGCGCCACCAGGGAAGCCCTATTAGCCTTTTCTCATTCTGGGAACCCAAGTTCGCGTGGATATTTCAATTCATCGGGAAGTCTTCCCGGCCTGGTCTGCACCACTCACCCTGACCACCCTCACCGAGACTGGACGCAGCTCGTCCTGAAGCTTAACTGGCAACAGGACCAGGTGTCCATGCTGACCTACAGGTGCTGCAAAGAGGAGATCTGGGGGTGAGCAGCTTTCTCGGGGTCACCCATGTTGTGAAGCTGGGCACGTTCAGGTTTCCTGACTCCTAAGCCAGTCACATTTCCTCTCCCAACTTAAGTTTTGCTACAGTAACTGGGAGAAAAAAAATGACGCACGCCAGTGCTGGATATGCCAGTTCTGTCCAATTCAGAGAGGGGAAAAAACTAAGTAGTCAGGCACCATCAGTAACTGGATAGCAAAAGCCTTCTTGGGTTCGAGGGCCAGGGGGCTATTGTAGTTTGAAAGTGGTCTCCCCACCGAGAGAGAAACGAGTGCTTACCCCCGGTTTAAACCAAACGGCACCAGAAGCAAAAGGAGACCAGGGCTCAGAACACTCACAAGATATTGAAAAGCTTCAGAAAGTGTGATTTTACAAATTCTACTGCACGTGAAAACCTTGCGGACACAGTCACCACTTTGATCTTTTCTTCTCAGATACAGTGAACACCGGCCAAACTGTTTTAATTTCCGAATTTATTAAAATGATTAACCTCGATACTGCAAGTGCATGTACAAAATATTTGTAAAAAATGTTTTTAATGAAACATTAAAGAACTTACCTCAAATGCTGAAAAAGTCCTTTTTTCATTCTTTCAGTACAAGGAATACATTGTATCTCAAAAGTATTACAACTCAGCAAAACAATTTAAAACAGTAATTTGAAAAATGATTGAAAATTGAATACCTTACATATATATCTATGATCATTTCCTAATTCTTACAATGCCAAAATCTTTACCAATCGTTGCATAAGCTCTAGCTACGTTTTATTGAATGCAACCTCTTCCAAGTGGTCAACAGTGTGTGGATTTGGCCATTCCACACAGTGAAGTTCTACAGCAGAGCTAGACCAGCTCTGAGGCCCCTAACTGTAAAAACGGAAATTAGGTTTCCCTGGAAGGCGCCGGCAGTGGCTGCCGAGCGCTTGTGCACACCGACTCCTGAGGCAGTGACCACCACCTACCGTCACTGCTCGGACCCACGGGAAGTTCAGCCCCCAAAGACGAGGCCTCAATAAAGTTAAACATCATAAATAAATTACTAAAATTAAGCTTAAAAATGGAGTAAAGTGGGAAATGCGGTATTTTGTTTTTTCCTTAAGATGAAATTCCTGAAATGGCTATCGTTGGTATTCCAAGAAAACAGTTCAAGATTTAGTCTCTGAACCTCTTTGAAAGACTCCAAACTAAGGTGGGAATAAAAGATGACCTCCCGCCCCCCCCGCCCCCGCTCTCTGGTACCTCCCAGACACAGGGTCTAAGGGTGACCTTCTCAGTGAGTGGCCTGAGTCTCCCACTGCCACCCAGAGACACCGGGGGGACTGGGTGAGGTTGTAGACGGCTCCGAGTGCCTCGGGACAGACCTTGCAGGGCTGCCCTGCTTTGAGAGGTGAAGAATTCTAGACGGAGCGAGCAAAGGGGGGTGTGAGTGGGCGAGGAGGTCAGCCGCCTGCTCCCACATTAATACCTGAGGGTTCATGAAACTGCACCGTGACAAACAGGGACGAGACGACAAAAGACTACAGAAGTAATTCCTTGAAGAACAGAAGGGGAGAAAAATTCTAAATGTAAAGAACTTTTATGAATGTTACTAGTTTCTATTTGGAACCTACTAGCAATAGTTCTAAGGAACTTAATTTAAATAATATCCCCAGGAACCTAGAAACGGGTAGGAATCAGTAAGTAGTAACGGTAAGCATTGAGGTTTTCTCCACTGGACTCCTCATTACCTGCAGATTCCCTTAAGTACTGAAAGATATGGGCTACTTTTCTAGACACTACACGAATCTCCTAAATTGATTTCACTTAGGAACACTGTATATTTGAAAGTACATGTACACATTTCCCAGAAATAGAGAGACCCACTGGTGTCAAACACCAGCTACAGATTTATATTCTCAGATTCTTTGTCCAATGACTTGTAAAATAATCCAGAGAAATGGAAGGTTGGTATTGAACATAAAGTAGTAATCAAAATTTTGCTCATTAAGTTACTTAAAATTAATTTCTCTTCTCAAAGTGCTTCAAAAACACATTAAATGACTCCTCCTTTTGTTTAACTGATAATATAGTCAAAGAAATCTTTGATATTTTCATACATAAACTAACATAAGCCAAGAACTCCCACTGATGCAGTGCTTAAAACTATATATTTATAATTTCCTATTTTATTGGCATGAATATTTCTAAACTTCCAAACCTTCCTGGTAAGTTCTTTTAATTTCTTATGACAAAAATTTCTCACAACACACAAATATTTACAACATATACACTGTTTTCAGTTCTCTACACTGAGTTTCAAAGACAAACATTTTTTTTATAGGTTTTACCACAGAACAAAAGCTGTGACTCATGTTTTTATTTCATAAACTATTATAAGTTAAAGTGAATAGAGTTCTTTAAAATTCCTTGTAGCATTTTACAAGTGCAACAGAAAACTTGAAGACCCCAATTAAGATATAGCTGTAGTTCATTAGATAAATGTTGTTTGTTGCCATCACATTTGTTCACAGCAAATTTTTTGAAAAAATAAGCACCAATCATTCTTGCAAAGAACAATTTTATCTAAAAGGATTGAAGTGTTAAATACAAGGTCTTTAATTTACATGACAAGCAATAAATACGCTGTATCGAAACTCCTCCTGCACACTGCGACCCTCGTACATATAACGTACTGAAAAGTTAGCTGTCACGCATGTAATGGTACTTTTTTTTTTTTTTTTTTTTTTTTTTGAGACCGAGTTCACTCCCACCCGACCGATGGTCTGCTATTTAACCAAGGTCACAAACAGTACACCTGGGCCAGCAAACTGTGAAACTGACAAAACTCCAAGGGGGAAACATCTAGCAAATAAATCAAAAAGCCAAAGAACATTGCTGGTGATATTAGCATATACTAGAAAACCTTAATATGCTGCTACTGTGATTTGTTTTAAATTCTTTTTTAGTCATATATTAAAGAGCCAGTTGATGCTCTTAAAGTTAAAAAAAAGAAAACTGTGTAGCCACATTATTGTTGCCAACGTCCTGTGTGGAAAGTTGCTATCACTGTACAATTTTGCTGGAGCCTTTATTTTACAACAGGGCTTTACCTCTAACTCAGAATTGCACATAAGAAGGCTATTTAAAAAGTACAATAAAAATTTGCACAAATCAGACTTTTAGCAAGAGTCAGTACGCTGTACACTTTCTGCAGTATTATGCTGATAAGTGAAAAGACAACAGAAGTGCTGCCCCTACAATGTTTTCGGCTGAGGAGTAATTGACTGGAATTGTTTATTTCTTTGAAGTAGTTATCCCGGGTCAAATTAAGACCAAGAGCTTTACTATGCGTTAAGCCTCAAAGACTGATCTTCTCTTCTCCTGGAAGAAATGTCAATATCTATAGAGTCTTTTCCGACTATGAGCCTCAGCCGCTTCGCCGGAGGAAGCGGGATGAAGTCGTCCTCAAAGTCGTCATCATAGTCCTCCTCCTCCCCGCCTCCCTCCGAAGAGGAGGAATCAGCGGTACTTTCCTCCTCGTACTGACTATAGTCATCGACCTCCATGCGAGACTCCAGGAGAGAAAGAGGATCACTGCAGCACACCCCATTTTCGTGAAGCCCCTCTGTATACGACCCCCTACTCTCCTCGTCCCGTTTTAGCTGGATTTTTAACTTTGTAGAGCTACTGCCTGATCCTGAGTTAAATCCATTATTAAGCTTTGCTACATAGAGATTATTATCATTTTCATGGTCTTTACTTAACTTGATGCTTATTTTTGAAGAATTCACTCCATCGTTCTCTTGGTCATTTGTCTTGCTGCTGCTGTCATGACGCCTACGAAGAGTCAATTTGGGAATCCCAGAGTTATTCTCTAGGATTAACTGTGCATCATACCTAGTGATCCGCCTCTTCTTTTTACTTTTTGCAGTTCGGAAGCTGTCTTTTGTTTTGAAGCTGTCTGATGCGACCACAGAACCGCTAACAGGAGAAGGGGGCCAGTCCGTGTAGCTCCCGGGCACGCCCTCCAGGCTGCCGCGCTCGCCCCGGTCAGGGTGCGACCCCACGCCCTCTCGCCCCACGCCGGCTCTGCCGGGGGAGCCGTGCACCGCAGCGGATTCCTCTGCTTCTGCCAACTGTCTCACCAGTTTCCCTTGCCGTGATTTCTTTTTCGACGTGCTGCTGTCGCTCTTAGGACACTTGGCCTCCCCCTTCTGGGCAGCTTCATGAGCCAGTTCTTCCTGCACCGCAGGAGATGGTTGCTCGCCACTGTCCGGGCAAGGTTCCGTCGAGCTGCTTTTGTAGCCATCCAACGTATTTGGTTCGAGCTTGATGTCGGAGGTCTCCTTCAAATTCATCCTCGTCCTCAAGGACCGCCGGGTTGTGTAGGCGCAGGGGGCGCCGTCCGCGTGCGCAGGGGCGCCTCGCCCGGAGTTCTGCCTGTGCTCTCGCGCCGCGTGTCTAGTTAAGCACCCACTGGCCGCCGCGGCTGGGACTGGTCCCTCCGGCTCCTTATCTTTCTTAATCGGCAAATTTTTGTACAGAACTACTTTAGGTTCTTTAAGTACTAAGTTTCCCATCTCCAGTTTTCCCGAAGCACTCTTCTGCTCCAGCCGTTTGCAATGATTTCTTAGTTTTATCTTTGAAAGTAAAGGCTTTGCAGGTTTTTTCAGTTTCTTTGGTACCCTGGAATTATTTATAGGAGTTAGCTTAGATGAGGTAGAGTTGGAAGAAGCTGGAATTCCTGACATGGACTGCCTTGTCAATGCTCTGCTCTTGCTGTTCTTTTTCATACCAACTGAAGATTTTCGGTTAGAAGCTGCAAAGTTTAAAAAAAAAAAAAAAAAAAAAAAAGGATGAAAAACAGTCTTGGTAACACGGTAATGTTCAACAAAACAATGCCAACACCCAGACGATTAGCTATGAAATGTCTAGATTATACAAAAAACGTGGTAGACAGACCCCAGTTGCGTTTCTGCCAGCACACAAGCACTTCCTACAGTTTTCCTTTACATTCTCTTTCTAATGTCTGCCTCTAATTTAAGAAGCATCTATTCACTTTCCAGGTACGTAATTTTAGAGTTAAAGAGCTCTTAGCACAGCAAGGAACTGGATTTCACTCTCAGTGCCCTTAATCCATCACGACACTAGTCCAAACTGAATACTTCTTTCCCTGATTTAGTCTTTTACCACATAAAATATCTGAAGTAAAGCTAAGTAAAAATAATATTTTTCTTTCACAGATTCTTCTTAAAATCATCATTTAAAATGTTTCTAAAATCCATTATTCATTAACTCAAAGTATATTACTTGACTAGTAATCCAGAACGGCGACAGGTGACTAACGGGCTCTCAGAGACAAATTCTATCATGATGTCTTCAAGTAAGAAAAAGAGATCCTAAGAACCACATATTGTTACTCCCACTAGACATTTATCCCCAAATCCCGCACCTTCTAAGCTGCTCCCTTCAATGCTGGGAGGACCAGCAGAGACTCTGAGGCCTGCGGAACTGACTTGGCCCCGTCCCTCCGTTGACTGCCCGCTGCCGACAATCAAACCAAAAGAGGGAAGGAGCGCACTGCTAGAGTTACACTCTCGGGACAAGGGGGACCCAGCTTCCTTCCTCTGGACAAGGGGATGACAACCTACTGGGAATGACAACCTGAGAACTAACATGACAGTTGAAGGGCTTCTCAAAAGGCTTATATGTGACTCAAGTGTAAGGTGGCCCCGTGGTGAGCCTCTGACCTTGCCACTGACTTTCCTTTCCGCCATCTTTGTTTTTCTCTACGTCTACATTTTGGATTTATAGTCATAGTGTTTTACGTGAGTCACTTTCTCGATCACTTAGTCTGCTCCCCATCCCCCACCTGAAAAGCTCGTCCCATCAAAATACCCCTTTACATCATTCACTAGGGAAGTTAAGATAACCAAATGAATCATCACCACCTCTCAACAGAAAACAGAGGGAATAAAAACCAGTGAACATGGGTAAGCCCAGCACGCTGCCCGACAAGACTGTGGCTTCCTACACGCCTGAGGGTCGCCAGGGTGACTGCTGTTCCTTCTGCATGGCTGGCCGAGTCAGGTTACCATTAGTTAGTTTTTATTCAGGGAGAGGAGCAAGAATGCATAACAGCATTCCAAAAACATCAACCCGCTAAGAACAGAAGTCTGTACTCAGGAAGACTGGCTCACGAATGGCTTTGGGATCTCCAAACCAGCAGAATTCCCAGGAATGAGATCCACTGATTGAACCAAGAACATGCTTATCTGTGCGGGATGCTACCAGGGAGGAAACTTTTTTTTTAGGAACAGTAGTAGCAGTGAAGTTTGGGTGCCACCCGATTTGAGAACCACCGACATATTATGAACTGAACTATACAGAACTTACCAGAAATATTTTAAATATAAGGATATTTAGGGACTGCTTTTGCTAAAGGATTTCTTTGTGCTTACAAGGCTTCCTACAAGGTGAGAGTTAGATGTGCTTATGATGTAAACACACCAGTGCTGGTGCCTGCCTTTCTCAAATGTGGCTACGGTGAGACTCCGCTGTCTATGGCTCTTCAAGGCCCATTCTATGACCAAGGTCAGCGGTTCTCATTTCATACCTGCAACCACCCCTCCACAATGATCACTTATACCGTGTATCCTTGACTGCAATCCCCCTGCAATGTGGATCCAACCTGTCCTCCTAAACAGCGCCTTTGCCAGTCTCCCTCACAGTCTCCTTGTCATGAAATCCGGCAGACCCTTTCAGCCCGTACCGTTGTTTCCTTCTCTGCAGAATGTGACGCTGCTGACCATTATTTTTCCCGAACCCCCTCTCTCCTTGGCTGCTCGCGAGAGCACACTCTCCTGGCCTTCCCTCCGTGTCCCGGGCCCTCTTCCTCCATCTGCCCAGTGGACTGCACTCCTCAGGCCTCTGCTATCCTAGGCCCCTTGAAAACTCTACTCAGTCTCCAGGCGATAAGCAGCCACTCCTCCACGGCTATCACCATCGATATGCTGGCAGTTCCCAAACCACAGTCTCTAGCCTGATTCTCGCCTTAATTACAGATCCGCATCACCAAAGGTCCACCGGGACCTTGATCGCCCGCTAAGATTGTCTCGTGAGCCCCTCACAAGTCAACATGCCCAAAGGGAACTCACCACCAAGCCTAAGTTCTCCATCTTGGTCAATACCACCACCACCCAGCCAGCTGCCCAAGCAGACACGGGGAGGTCATCCATGACGCCTGCTCTCGCTAACTCTCACCAACCAGCCACTGGTCCTGTGGAGTCCACTCCTGCAGTGTTGCTGGAACCACCTCCTTCTCTCCATTCCTGATGCCAACATTTCCCGCCTTGACTCTGGCACTAGCTCCTGCCTTTCCTTGCCTCCCTACTGCTTCCCCGACATTCCATCCCCCACCACGCAGCCCAGATGATTCTCCTAGTACGCCACACCACTTCTGGGCTTTAAGCCTGCCAATAACCTAATACCTAAGAATAAAGTCCAAAATTTTAAATTATGCTCACATCCCTTCTTCCCACCTTCTACTCCAGCCTTGATGAGCTTTACTGATGCAAATCCTACATTCGTGCCCACACGTCCATTTGTGACGTTCCCTCTGCTTTGAGCACGTTTCACTTGGCCAACTTCTCTTCCCCTTTTAAGACTCAGCTCAGCAAATACTTCTCTCAGGAAGCCTTTCATGACTCTACACGTGACAGGTCACCCTTCCTATGACTCTTCAGGGCACCTGAGGTTCTCCTCTCTTGGGCACTGATTTTTTAATCACTGGATCCATCTCACTTATGGTGATTTTGAATCTGGGCTCTCCCGCTCCCACCCCTCCTTCCGAGAGGTTCATTGTTAGCTGACTGCAGTGAACCACTGACAAAGCACTTCAGCGTGTGTTTTAAAGGGCACAAGAGGGACTGAATTTGATCCTGCGTGTTATTTCAATAGAGAGACTTCACGTACATATTTATGTATTTATCAGTGTATTCTCATTTTGTTTGAAAAGCGTTATCTCAACAGAAGCCCAGCTAAAAGGTGTGCTCAAGTCAAAGGGCACAGAAGGCACAGTCCGGATGGGTAAGAGAGACGTGAGCAACGTGACTAAGCACCCAGGGCTCTTCACGGCGCCACGAAGGTGCTGCTACACTGTCGCGGGGGGATGGGGGGGTGAGCGCCAGCAACAGTAGGCTGAGGGAGAGATGGTGGTCACAATGGCAAACTAAGAAAAGTCTATCAAGAGAATGAGGATCCTGACACAGTGGAGGGAAGGCACGGCCACAGCTCCCCTGGCTTTGGCACTAACACACCATGTGTGGCTCTCTTCCCTCACGGCTGGGACAGATCCCAAATGCATAAACCTAGACAGTAATTTCAGGTGAAGATACACATTCTTAGCAATTAGTATATACTAGGTACAGTGCCAAATGGGCAAATTAGTATGATCCCAATCATAATAAGCATTCTTTGAAGTAAGAGCTATTACACTAAGTGAAAACCAAGTTCCGGTGGGCTAGCGTGCCTAAGAGCGTCCATCCGGTCAGTGGCAGAGATGGGATATGCACTGAGGTCTGTGGCTCCAGATCTCGAGCTTTTCACCACACCGTCACATGGCCTCTAAGGGACACCACAGAGCTATTACGGAGCCAGTCCCAACTCCTGGGAAAGGGCCCATGGTATGGCTATCGTGGTTCCCTCAGGGTGTCCTCAGAATCATAAGGCAGCTCTGTGTGGGCATCGAGAATGACAGCCAGACACAAGAGCAGCAAAACGACATCAAAGCTTCCAGAATGCTCGGGCTGCACCCGTGCTCTGCACTGGACAAGCCCCAAACACACACAGTGGAGCCAAGGGAACACGAGGGCCACACACAGCTTGGCATGTTCCCAACATGAGGACCCAGAAAACCCTCAATAGGATTTTAAAGACTTCAGTTCAAGGAGTTTGTCAGGCACAAGAAGCAGGCTCCACCTCACGCAACCAACGCAGGAATGAATGGCTGGAAAAGGGTGCTAGAAAGGATTCTGAAGCATCCTGCAGGCTCAGCAGAAAAGTGTTCAGACCAACCAGTGATGTCTGTGGCAGGCGAGAAAGTGACAGGTGGTGGCCCAGCCCACTGTCTCCAGGACAGGCGCTCCTCAGTCCAGCTGAGTGAACTTATCCCACTGGTGGGAGTCCTCTGGGACTTGCACCAACTCGTGGCATTTTCAGCGGCTCACAGCCAGGACGCAGCACTATGGCGGTGGCCTAGCCACTGAGGCACAAGAGGCCTAAAAAACCCGACTCTTCTAGTAATGGCATTATAATTCAGGTCTGTGGACTGAATCTGTGAAAATGGATTTCTTGTCTCCTCTCTGGACGCTAAAGCAAACAGTCAAGTTGTGGTTCTTGAGACACCTTCCAAAAAAGGACCTGCATGGAAGGAAGAAATAATTTTTTCTTCCAACTAGGCAGAAACGTTTCTTTAAAAAGAACAAACACGCTGTTCAAAGAAAGCAGTTCCTCTATAGTTGTCAGCTGCTTAATTCTAACCAAACTGCAGGATAAGATGGGTACTCGGAATCTATACACAAGATGTATGCCCACGCCCCTTGGGAGAAAGGCTTGGGCACCTCCGGCCTTGCATCCACTGCAGTCTCGAAAAGTCTTTTCTTTCAAACAGGTAGAAGGGTTTGGTCAAGACACAAACAGCAAAAGAAATACAGCCTAAAAGAACACATGTAAGAGCCCGAGAAAACACTGCTATGACCATACTTAGTGCACAATGTTCTCAAAGACCACTGGAGTAAACGTCGAGCTCCTTCAGAGCCCTGAGCCACGTCTAGCAACTGTCACATGACCCTCAAAGCTACTTATGCCAACCCCTGAATTACTCAAGACGATCATTCTGCAGAAAAGTAATCTGAATAAAGTAAGCGCCCTAATATAAGCAGTCACGGTAAAGTGCTATATTTCTGTTCTGTAATGCTGAGACTACAGCTCAAAGGGATTACCTATTCCCTCTAGCCTTTAGGAAGCAGCATTTACAGTCTGCTCTGCATAGTTACTGTGTACTGGTCCCATCCTGGAGCTACGGCATAAACTCCCCAAGGGAGGGGCCCAAGTCTCATACACTTTTCTATCTCTTTTTAACAACTAGCAGGCTTTGAACATGTATTTGGTTTATTAATAAATATCCCATAGATGGTCACATAATAGAACACTCAACACCTCCCAAAAATTTTTCCTATTTTGATTTTTTAAACTAAGTGGCGTACTGAGTTCAGTATCTACACATCAGTATATGGTTGACGCCTAAGAACACAAAACACCCGCACGAACGTCACAGAGCCATGTGGACAGTGTCGTGGCCATCTCCACATGTGGCTGGCAGCACACTCCTAAGTGTTTTTATGTAGACATTTATAAAATGGGCTTCACAAGTCGCCAGTTTCACCAAGGAACCAGACTCAGAAAACAAAATGTTGATTATGCTGCGTTTATTATAAAAACCAACAATCAACAGTGAAGGACGAACTAACTGCTCTTCTTTGTTCACTTTGGACGTTAAAGACTCGGATAGGAACGCGGCATCACTTTTCCACGGCAGAGGTTACCCCTGGCCTCTGACTCCCAGCGGAAGGTAGAGTCAGGATTCACGGCAGTGACAGTCACCATCACGGGAGACACCTTCCCTTTCCTCTGGGATTTTCTGTAGTGGAGAGGAGCACCCAGAGGTGGGCTGAAAACATCTGAAGACACAGGGAGAAGAGCCTAACATGATCAGACCTCAGACGGAACCTACTGCTAACAAGTATGTACGGACAGTTATAGTGCCAAAACAGGCATACTGTGGGGACCATCACGTTAAAACTTTTAAACTTTATTCCTATCAGAGACAAGTCAGACTAAGGAGCCTACTGCTTTAGTGGCAACTAGAGAAAACTGGTGTTACCCAGATGAAAAACAGTAGCAATCAGGATGGTTCCAGGACTTCAAGGCTCCACAAACGTGATGTGTCTTCTTGTGCTCACTTAGGATTCTTCTCTTTCTTTTCCCTTTATTCTTCATTCTCTTTTTCCAGTTTCCATCAGGTCTTGCCCCCCCCGCCCCAACCGCCACACAACTGGTATCTTAAAGCTTGTTTCTTTCTCCTTTTCATCTCTCTTGCTACTTTCGGTCGAGGGGCTATTACAACACGTCATAGTATAATGACATTCAAACTGCTCCTCTATCACAATTCTGAGTCTGGTAACTGGTGGTTTGGTGAATTGGGTCAGTTCATTTTGAAAACGGCAAGCAAGCAGTAAAAGGGTGGAAGCCTTGAGGCCAGAAGCTATGAATTCCCCAAGTCCATCATCCATCCTAACAGACTGGCCAGGCGCAGAACACGTATGTGCCTGTGTGACGCCACCCCGTCCTTTGTCTTCTTGCGGACCTAACAATATCATTACAGAGAAACTAACACCTTGAAAAGCTTTCTGTCAAACATATGATGACCCTGGAACACACGATGGAGAATTTCATATCCAGTTACCCAGTATTCAAGAAAAGCAGACAATTTAGTACCATATGAAATCTGGAGGCGTGATACAGACTGCTTTTGTGCTCGAATCACTTCTAGAACCTTGCAGTGCTGGTGAAGTGCATGAATCCCAGAGTTTCTCTCAATGTTTAAAAGATCAAAACTATTAGAGCATGCTTTAGAAAGCAAACTTTGTGAAAATTCTTAAAAAAAAAAAAGATACAGACTGCTTTTGTGCTCGAATCACTTCTAGAACCTTGCAGTGCTGGTGAAGTGCATGAATCCCAGAGTTTCTCTCAATGTTTAAAAGATCAAAACTATTAGAGCATGCTTTAGAAAGCAAACTATGTGAAAATACTTAAAAAAAAAAAAAAAGATATGCTTATCAAATCTCCCTTACTTACTTGCATTGTTTTTTTCCTGAGTGGTATCTGCATCAGTGTTAGAGCTGACAGATTGACTGTCTGAATTTTTGCTGCTGTCACCTAACTTTTTAAGCCTATTTAAACGTTTATCTGTTTCTCTGAGTCCATATTTGCTATTGATAACAGGAGCAGGCGCAGGCAGTCCCACTCTGGATTTAAAAGCACCAGTTCCCCGTCTGAAAGAGAAACAGCACAGGTTACACAAACAGCATTCTCACTGACGTAAGCCTGGTTGCTGAGCGCACTTGGCCACATCAGATCAGCAAGTGCGATGAACTGATGGGGCCCTAATTGCCACTGGAAAGCCGCTAAGCCTAGGACTCTCAAAATACATACATATAGAAAATTAAGGCAAAAAAGCTCCAGACTTAAAATAAAACCATTTGTTATGACTACTGTCAATCAGTCGTTAATTGCCCATGAGAAGCTATTGGTTGGACCCTATAGAATTTCAAGTGTAGGTAAAAGTAAATAAATAAAATTTCAATTTCAAAACCGACTGGTACAATAATTACGTCTAAACTGTAACTGAAATAACCCACCTGTTAATTATATCCCAGCTTTGTTCTGCATAATTTAACACTACGTTACTGAATATTGAGAATTACAGAATTAAAAGAGGAACCAGCGAATTTCCATAAATTAAGTCATTGCTTAGAAGCTAATGTTAGATACAAACAAAATACTAACTGAAATTCTGAATAAGAAGGCTAGGCTATCTTAGTGAAAATCTCTCTTCTAGAATAATGAAAACTGTTAAATTCCTCCTTTAAAGTTACTGAATGAACATAATTAACAAAATGTTACTAAATAAAAGACATCAAAAGACTTGCTTTTACCACTGGCTAAGAATGATTTGTAACCTGCTTTAATTATGTATATTTATATAAATCCTAATGAAGTGGGTGCTTAATAAGAAGTCCTCCTAAACTTCCTTAATGAACCTAGCTTTGCAAATCTTTGCTTTATTCGGTGTTATAAAGGTAAATTTCTACTCATTCTGCTCAAAAGAATAAATGGAATATAAATTAATGAGGTTAAAAAAATTAAGCACTACATACTGCATTTAAAAAACGATAAATCTCTTTGGCCAAAATTGCCTTCACTGACTTGCCTTTCACTGGCCTTAGCTTGTTAAAGAAAAGCCATATAATAAGAGCTTCTGAACCTGAGGCAAAATTGTGAACACTTCCCATTATGAAAGCAGCACTGCCCTCCAAAAGATCCCATGTGATTTCTTTCTTTCGGGATTTAGATGAGGAGAAAAATAACTTTTCTCCTTCAAGGAATCTGAGTATTTCACCTTTTGCTAAGGGAGAACAAAAATTTTATTTTCTCTCCCTCCCGCTTAAACCTCTTAACGCTAGGGAGGAGCACAGACCTAGTCTGAATGCAGAGACTGTGTTTGGCGACTAAGGTGAGCATTCTTGCCTTCTCTGCCTTCCCAGAATGGGTCTGGAATATTCTACTTTTATTAATGCTTGTGTGAAAACGACAAACATATTGTGGGACTGCCTCAATTCTTTTTTCAACAGGTGCATTAGAAATCATTGTAAAAACCTCTAGGTAACCTTCACCACGGCAGGCCAACAATTACACTCCACTCCACCATAAAGTATATTCAGAAAGTAAATGCGTAAATCCTAAAGGCTGTTTCATTTCAGGTGGATTAAGGAATTAATAAATTTTGTTCCGATATTCTGTGCTTCTTTACCATAACCTGTAATATTTCTGGAAAGATGGGCCGTACTTAAATACAAAATAAACGATCATGGTGGAATTATCTGGAAAATTTTTTTTTTAAGTAAAACTCCCCCATTCATCTGTTTCTCTACTTCCTTTACTTCTTTTTAACTTATGACAGTAACACATGCTTGTGTTTGCTGCAACAGGTGAGACAGTCTTAGGCTCTGTCTCCATACAGCACAAGTCAATGGTGCTCCCCAGCCAGCCTCCATCCCCAGAGCCCCCCACCCCGCCCTGGTGCCAGTGCTAACCATCTGCCAGCACCTCATCTTCTGCTCCTTTGCCATGAGCTACACACCTATTCACACTGTTGTTTCTTCCTAAGCAAACAAAACCCAAAGAGGATAATACCATACATCTTACTCAGCAACCAGCTTGCTTTCTTTTTTTCCCCCCAGCTTTCTTATTACATCATGCACAAGTAAATCTGAACTGAACATGTTTTGAAAGTTGTACCTTTTACACAGACTAAACATTCCATAATCTATGCAAGCACTACTGGTGATTACTGAAACTTGTAGGTTTGTGGGTTTTGCTTTTGCCACCATGAATGCTGCTGCTCCCTTGCTTTGAAACCAAATCCTTACTAACGAATGCTACTTCCATAGGATAGATTCTTCCATATGGAACTGACTGCCGGACAAAAGGGTGTGATTATTTTGAACAAATATTGCCAGATTACTTTCCCAAAAGGTTATAGCAGTTTGCAGCCCTAGTGACACTGTGTAAGCGCCTGTTTCCCCACATCCTCACCAGCGGCACAGAGCACACTTCCAAATGTTGCCAATTTGATAGTGAAAACGGATACCTAGTTATTGTTTTCCTTGTTTATGGCCATCATTTTCTGTGTAGCATCTTCCTTACCTCTCTTTTCTCTAGTGGAAGTCTGTCTTTTTTTTTAATGAGCTTATAGGAGCTTTTTGTCCTTGGGATATTAACTCTGCCGTGTATGTACTTTTCTCCCCCTTCAGTTTGTCATTAATCTGACTTTTGCTTTCAGCTATTCAAAAATTTTCATATTCACCATTTCTTGTCTTAACTTCCTTCAGAAGACTTCCACTACCCCAAGGGTAGACATATACATTCTCCTAATTTTTTTTCTTATCATCTTATGTTGTATTTTTAAATTAAAAATTTTAATCCATCTGGAATTTATCTTGTATATGGTGTGATATAGGAGTTGAGCTTGGTTTCCTTCCAGGCGCACAATGAATTATGTCACTATTATTTATTAAAGAAATCATCATTTCCCCATACGTGGTATTAAGACTTCATACACACTCGGCTCTATCTCAGCAGTCTGTTCACGTCCTCTTATTTGTCCATATCGGCCAGTATGATCAAGTTTTGATCACAACTGTTTCACAGTAAATTTTTAATAAGGCCAACTGCCCCTAACTATACTTTAGAAATTTTTTCTTGGCTATCATCAGACATACTTTCATATAAGCTTTAAAACAATTTGGTCCTTCATATTCTTCGGTCCCTCATTAGATTTCATTTCTCAAATTTTCTAGAGTGAAATTTGCAGTACTTACTTATGAAAGTATTACAATTACTATTTTGTTAGGACAGTTATTTCCCAGAAGCACGCATCACATGTATCCTGGACACTGTACCCACGATGTCAGCACTTCTGTAAACCCTCTGTCCCCTCTCCCTCCTTCTCTTCACCCTTCAGCAACTAGCAACTAGCACACTGCGCGTGTGTCCCTTTCATGGCACTGCCCTCATGGCTGGCACTGTGCTAGTCTTGTTTACCCTGCCTGCATGAGGCCCAACATAAAGTAACTAACTATTCAGATGAATAACTGAATGAGTTCCTTTGGTCTCATCCTCTCGCCTAATTTCTGGAAAGGCAAAAACAATCTGGTGTTCCTGAGAATTTCAAGAATATTCCCAGCCAACCTTTAAATCAAACTTCCCAAATCGTCTGACAATAGCTGAGCCTACTGCTCCGTATGAGGCCTTTCCATTTAAAAAGGATTTGCACATGTTTCTATTTATTCCTCACACTAACCCCGTGGAGCAGGCAGGACAGCCCTTCTGACCAGTGAGATACAGTGTCCTGGAAGGGAACTAGTCTGCCCGAGGGACATGACGACACATGGGTCTGAACTAGGCAAAGGGCTGTCTCAGGGGTGGTCTGGAATCCTGTGTATGTGGTTACATTTTTCAGGACAGCCTCCAAAAGCATATTTAGCATATTACTTACTCCATTCATTCATTCACCAAATATTTATCAAGCACCTACTATATGTCAGGTACTGTTCTGGACGCTGGGAGTACAGCAGTAAATGAAAAAGATAAAGATCTCTGCCTTCCTGGAACTTGCATTCTAATGGGAGAATAACCAGAAACCACAAAATAAGTTTACAGCTAACATCTGAATATTAACTGTGTGCTGTTTTACATACTTTTCGTGAGAAAAATTTAATCCTCACAGCAACCCTATGAGATAGTTTCTAATGTTATCCCCATTTTATAGATGGGGTAATTAAGGCACAAAAGCAGCTAAGTTGCCCAAGATCACACAGCTAATGAAATGCAGAGTCACAGGATTCCAACTCAGGGAGTCTGACGCCAGATCTCATGCACATCACTGTTATACTATGTTACCTCTATAAAATGGTTTTAAAGCATTATTCAACTGTAATTAAACTACTGCATGGATTAAAGGGTCTTTTTGTGGACTGGTCTAAGATTTAACCAGTGTTTGAACCATTTTTTTAATTTAGAAAAAGATAAATTTTATCCCCCTGCCTTCCCACTCCCTCCCTGCAAAAGGGGCAAAAATTCAGCAGCATCAGGAACAGGTTTTCTGCCCTCCCTTCCTGGCAAAGATCCCAGAGCTGGGAGAGAAACAGCTGGGGTTGTACCACGACCCCATGCCTCTGCTCTCTCACGACACAGGGGAAACCACTGGCTTCCCCGAAAGAAGGGAGACATGGTCTCTGGGGAATCAGCATTTCTCCCGAGGCCGATGGCTGGCGGAGTAGTGGTGCCACCGCCTATCTCTGCTTCCAGGAGTGAAAGGCTCGGAGGTCAGGCTGACCTGGACTTCTGCACCTGCAGTGTGGCCACACCACCAGCTCTCTCCCAGGACAGCTGTGAGGACTGAATGAGTCAGGGTGAGTAAAGCACCCAGCACAGCACGTAAAATGGGCTCAACAAATCCAGGCGTGCTCATCTGAAGACGAATATATACACATATACACGTGTGACCCGATCGCTGTGCTGCACACCTGAAACTAACACGATCTTGTAAATCAACTATACTTCAATTAAAAAAATAAAAACAATAACCAAAAAGCCAAATCCAGGTGTGCTCCCTGTGTGGCCTATGCCAGCATGGGGGCCTTCCTGCAGCACCGGCCCGGACAAGCTTGGGAAGCTGCCTCTGAGCTCAGACACGCACAAATTGCCACAAGGAGACGAGCAGTGTGGACAAGGAGTCCTGCTAAGTCAGATTTGGGGGATTTCTACAAGGACTCCAGAGTCTTGATGGATCCCAAAAGGAAGTTCTTCACCAAGTAACGGAGCTTAGAAATTATTAAGAGCACGTGCATCAAAACATAACAATTCCAGAAGACACAGCTTGGTGGTACCCAAGACAACCTCAGGGTTTTTACATGATTAGCAGTGGTGAACTTCACTGGTCATTTTCAGAGCAACCCCACCCTGGCACCGTGTGTGTGTGGGCGTGTGCATGTGTGTTTAAGGTATTTCCCATTCTCTCTTTAAGCATATTTGCATTCTGATTAACTCATAATGATAACTGCTGGTAATGATTTTAACATTTTAAAGGGCCAGGTGCTGGGGCCCCTAAATAGTTCTGTACTCTTTGGTTTTGCTTATGCATATCCTGCACTGCATGCAATGCTGCAGAACATAAAAGACTATCCCTTAGCATTTAAAGGATGAGAAGATAACATGAGTTCATGCTCATAATCATCAAGTGGTTAAAAGAATGCAAGAGCCGAATATCTTACTTAATACTTTACCTTTCACAAGTGTAACACTCGCAGAACTCATTATTTTCTCCAAAAAACCCATCTCCATAATAACAAGAAATTTCTTCTCCAGGTTCAATGTCTCTTAGAGCCTTCACACATGCTGTATCTCGACCAGTTGACACAAACTGAAATAAAATCAACTCATTAAGAAAAACTCATACCTGAAGCAAAAACAAAATACTTGGGATAAAATATTTTTTATGCTTACCTTACAGTTAGGTCTGCAATCTGAAAAATGTCCAAAAGATAAAGTCAATTAACTGTAGATAAGATCTGAAACACGAACAATTACAGAAATCTGAAATAAGCTTTCCACATAATTTTACCAACTTTTGACAGAAGTTTCAGGTCTTAAGTTAAACTACAGGAATATTTATTTTAATAGGTTTATGCAAAAAGAAGAATTTCTATTTCCAACCCTCCTTTAAAGGGAGATAAGGTCATTCTAAGTTTTAGAAGTGCTACCCAACACTAGAGCTAACACCTTAGAAACAGAGCTTACCATGGTTTATAAACGCAGCAGGACCAAGCCAGAGCTGAGCACAGTTTTTCCTTGTGGAATACATGACACTGAAGTCGTTTTCTCCATGTCTAAGTAGCATGTTCTCCTCAATTTCTGAAAGTTCGGCAATACAACCCACCAGTAATTCTATTTTGTCATTTCGTTTCCTATTTAAAATATGTGATGTTAAAAATTACTAGTAATTTATAAATCGTAAGGCTTCTTTTAATAAAATAAGCCTGTCCAATAAATACCAGGAATCGAGAAGACTTAGCTGCGCATGTTTTAGCTGACTCACTTGGATCCCCACCTGGATGTCATCTCCTTCTCCCTGGAAGCCCCACAGCCTTGCGCACAGTTACTTGTGCAGGTAGCTGCCTTATCCCTACCAGAGACTAGGAAGTCCACTAGGAATCGTGCTACCTACACCTCTGAATCCCCTACCGGACCCAGCATAGTGCTTTGCAGGCAGAAAGGACTCAAAGACCCGCCGCACTGCATTCAACTTGCTGACACTGGAGAAGGAGACAGAGACAAGCAGCAGGAGGGTCGGGAGAGCCCAGAACTGGGCCGCCGCCCTGCAGAGCAGCAACAGCAAATGTCATGCAAGCCAAACAGGCAATCGTCAGGGTTCTAGCAGCCACATTAAGGAAGGAAAAACAGGTGAAAGTACTTTCAGTAACATAGTTTAACCCAATATAACCCAAACACTATTTCAGCAGGTAATCAGTATGAAATATTAATGAAAAATATTTACAATTTAATATAAAATCTCACATGTATATCACATTTGTAGCACTTCTCAATTCAGACTAGCCACATTTCAAGGGTTCAACAGCCACCCGTGGCTGATGGCCGTGGTACTGGACGGTGCAGTCTAGAACCCAAGACCTCAAACCTCCACAGCCATGTGCAACACGGAGCCACGGGAGCCGATGAGCAGGCTGGATTCCGTCCCACAGCAAACAGATACACTCACTCACGTACACACACCCATGCAAGAAGCCCAGGAGGAAGGCTCTTTCCCATTCCATTTTCAGGTACCTGACCCTAATATTTTTGCTATAAAAAATACTGGGGGTGGGCTTCCCTGGTGGCACAGGGGTTGAGAGTCCGCCTGCCGATGCAGGGGACACAGGTT